GGGAATGTTCTTTTCTGTATGAAAGTAAGTTGATTTTTCTGTAGAAACACATGAAAAGGGTTGGAAATTCTGAAATGCTTGTATAGAACTTCAGAAAGTATCAGGTAGTTCCTTACACTTCTGAATGTGTAACATGAATTGCCAACGTGATTTTCCTAGAATGTAGCATTTTTTGGTCTCTGATTATTTAGGACTAACTTCTTTACTGGTGTGCTTCAATTCAGTGTAGAATGGCTTTGTTGGAAATATGGGATTTATCTTTCCATGTGTATTACACAGCTATTGGAGTTCATGATCTTCTTTACAGGGAAGAGGTGGTATACATAGTAAAAATAAGTTTGACTTTTTAAACTGGACCTCAGTTTGGTTGTCTGAGCACTGCTTAAAGTGTACTTAGTCTGGAGCCATTCTGTGTTTTACTTGAATAACTAACTGGGAATGACGTCTGGTTGAGCGGTGAAAGACTTCTTTGGAGTATGTGCTCAGGATCTTACAGACTTCTGTGGATAGTATTTTGCTCTAGAGTTTGTAGGGATAACATGGGTGATGTATTATTTTTCCTGAAAATGTGGTGGCATGTCATGTGCAATTCTAACTAAAGGCAAAAAATACAGGTGCCTGATGGATCTGAAACTGAGTGTTGGAAACTCTTCCCTTGAGAAAGGAATGTACAGAATTCAGCTCAAGATGAAACTTCACAGGCAATGCCTCTCAACAGTGAGATCTCCGATTTGTGAGAGCATTGGATCAAATGTGTGTGGCTATTGTCAATATGAATTGTTGATCAAGGGGTATAATGTAACATCAGTTGTGATTTTACAAGCTATTTGTAACAACAACAGCACTTACCTAGTGGCTTGCTTATGTTGCCTTTTCTTCTGAACCCGCTATGCTGGGATGCACCCAGTAGCTCTGTTTTACATATTTTAAATAGAGTTTGAATTTATTATCACGTTTGGAGTTCGTTTTTACTTGGCAAACTGAATTTCTGGTGCTAGAATAGTTTTGTGACTTCCAGACCATGCTGTACCTTAATAGGACAGTGGCAAGTAAGTTAGAGATTGTTTGTTGAATTGTCGTTGTTGCAAGCTGTTAAGGATCAATCTATAATAAATCCTTTATAAATTGAATGTGTTTTAATACCTTTATGGAAAGCAGTTTGCTTTAGCTGCTGTTTTTGCTTTGGAAATACACATTATCTTCTGTAAACCAGAAGTGTCAAATAATGGACATCAATATTAGTTATCAAGAGTGGTTGTGAGGGGGGAAAATAAGAAATCAATGAATTTTAGAATTTCTGGAACTGTTGGAAAATAGAAGAATATGAGTGTTGCAACAAATGTAAATAATATTCTGTCATAGTAAAGATTAATTGTTGCAAGTCTAAAAGCTAAATTGATTTTGTGTGTATGAATGGATATAAATATAAGTATGCTCTACAAAAACTCAGTGAAACAACATGAAATTTGTTTTTGAAATGTTGAATCTGCAAGCTAAATGAGATTGGTGTTCTTTGAGTGCATGCCAAGGAAAAGAGGAAGGCTATTAATAAAACTAATAAAACCAAGTTCTTTCGGTTCAGTTACACCAAACTGTACACTTAGCCTGGGATTAGAGCCTTTGTGCACTGTTTGAGCATGGTACCCACTAGAATGTTTTTCTCTCATCACGTGTATGTTATATAGCACTGGTAAGTGATGAAGCATTACTGCTCAGTTGGTGTTGTTCAGAACCGCACTGACACTGCAGTGCTTGCTCCTTGGGAGTAAGCTGGCACGTGCCAGCTGGGCAGCTTTCAAAGTGATGAAATACCGAGAAGATGTTGCAGGGTTCTGTGGAAGTTTGGAACACAGAAGCGTAAGAGAAAAGAGAAAGCATCACAGGCTTCTGCTTAAAGAGAAACAGGATGGGAGGTTGTATTAGGCATGGGGTTGTTCTAAGTACAAGTGCTGATTGCTGACATTTTCACATCTTTCAGGATGGTCACTCTTCTTGGAGGAAGTGAACAGAGCCTTTGTGGAGAGAGGTGGAGATGACAGTCAACTGATAACATTTCACATAAACAATTCAGTTTTTTATAGGAAAAGAGATGCAATTCCTATAGTAAAATACAGTTTACTACAAAGAATGAAAGTAAATTCCAGAGTTCTTGCTTTAGGGAGGAAAAGAGAATATTTGAGCCAATGCTTATCATCATTAAATCCTGTTTAAAAGTTGCTGGTAACTGGAGTTGAGGCTAGTTTTCCCAATTGCTGAGGAACTCCACTATTTTTTTGTTTTCCCTTTTTTTTTTTTTTTGTATGGATTTATTTGGGAGTGAAAATATACTGAGCTTTTGATCTTTTTAAGCTTTTCAGATGCATACAGGTTTCAAGAGATTTGCGCTTCTCGCACTAACTGTGCAAGCAGGATAACTGCGTGAAGGTTACCTGTAGGCTAAGCAGATCTTCAGGCCTGACTGAAATGGATGTTGTGTCTTAACAGACCACCTACTCCCTGCTCTTGCTGCTGAGATACCTAGGCTAGTCTATGATCAGGATTTTCTGCTGCTATTATTCAAGGAATGAATTGAAACTGGAGAACACCATACAGCGTATTTGGAAAGCTGTGAAGTGAAAAAGCTTTCTGTGGGCTCTTCAAGGATGTCCGTAGGCAGCAACTTATATAAACAATTGCTGGCTGACGTTCAAACTGATGTTTTCAGATTAAACATGAATTTTTCATCTGAATCTGTTAAGGAACTATCCTTCTTTCCATACGGATTCTGTCTATAGTTGTTAAACCCGCTTTCTTGTTATCCCCCGAGTTGGTGAGGAGGGAGTACAGCCTGTTTGAAGAACAGTTCTTCCTCAGCCACTCCAAACAATCGGCCTGGCTGGACTGTGTTTGCGTCCTGGTTGTCACGTGCATCAGCTGGTGCCCTGGGATCTCCAGACGGATCAGGAAGATGTAGCGGGAAAGGATCCCTTGTGGTTTGTAACTTCCCAGAGGTTCAGCCGAACACCTGGGCTGTGTTTCAAGGGAAATCCTATGCCATTACTAAATCCAAAACAGTAGGATGAGACAGCCTTTTGGGTGTTAGTGTAATGAAAGAGAAATCCTTAAAACAGTGGACTATTTTCATAATTTCATTGCTGCTGATCTGGAGAAGAGATTCAGATAGCAGATGGGAGGTGGTTGGGTTTGAGGACTTGCATCATTTTATCTCCTGGCCTCATTTTGTGGTTTAACAGTTCCACTCTCAAACTTTTAACTTTTCCTTATTGGTGTCTTTGTACTGCAGAAGATGTTCAGACTTGTTCTGTATGTGGCTTGAGAACCTGTAGTTGTGGTTTCCTCCCAGAAAGGGAGTGCTGCTGTTTGGGGATGCTGTTTCTTTGACGTTAACTTTACTCCTGATCCTTGGTGCTCTAGTGGGGAGGAAAGGTGGCTCCTGGTTTTGTCTCCTGTTGGTACAGAAATCTCTGTTGCAGTAGAGGAAAATAGAGGAGAAATGTGGCACAGGAGCCAAGGCTGTCTGTCCTGATCTTCCTTGTAGTCAAACAACTGGTGTCATATAAATGTGTACAGTTGTCTGTAGAACTGCAGACTGTGCAGATGTGAGACTGTGTGCATTGTAAGCTAGGCTGGTGGAATGGTACTTCTAGGTAAAGGAAGAAATCCGATACCTGTGACTTGTGATTTTAGGAGAAACATTATTAAAGGCAGTGGTTTCTTTGTGAATCTTATTTGGGGTTGAAGGCAACCAAAGTGGAAGATGGATGGCTTTAACTAGTAGTTTGAACAGTTGACCAGACTACTTCAAACTAGCCTCTTTGAAAATGCTGGTGTTGAAGCAGATGATGATAACCTTAGTAGAAAGCTGAACTATGATCCTCTTTGCCTAAAGCTTTGCTAATTCTTTCTGAGGGCTGGTTTTGTCCTGGCACCAGTGGAGCATCCGAGTGCCATGCAATAGCGTATTGAGTGACATCGTTAACATCATCTCTTTGCTGAGATAAATATTTTACAGCCTGCAACTATGAGAAGGCCCCGTGGACACTCAGATACTGGCAAGACCAACAATTATTTCCTTATTTTCTAAACTCTGAAGGAGCTTCTCTGTGAAATATGTTTACAGTACTTGTTAGAGCTCTCAAGCTGTCCAGTCTCTTGAACGTTTTGATGCTTGAAGGCTTATCTTCTAAATTCAGTTTTGAGAATTACAGCTGTTCCTTGAACAGAGGTGTCCGCAGTTTGATATGTAATAAAATTTAGTTACCACCTTGTGACAAGGTGTTATGTTACAGTTTTTTCTGAAGGCACCTCCGCACAGAAGCGGGGCTCTGTAGCTCCCGTGGCTGAGCATGTACGGATCGAAGTCTTGCAGGCTGGGGGGCTTTTGCAACTCTTCCAACGTGTTGAGCAAATTTCAGCCTCTTCAGTTTCGCTTGGCAGCTGCTGCGCTGCCTGCAGGCGCTGTCTAGGCAAGGTTTCCTTTCCCTGTGAACCGAAAGGCTGTAAGAGCATCTGCACAGGCAGACCTTGAGCTTCAGGGATTGTTTAACCAACAGCTGCCCTGATGAAGTGACAATACGTGAGAGAGTTTGTAAAGATGCGTTTCCCCTGGGCCGAGCAGGGCGTAGGGAGAAGCCCGCGCCCAGGTGGAGGGCAGGGCGCATGCCTCCCTGCAGCCCCTGCATAGGGGGCCGGAGCCGCCGCGGGCAGAGCCCGATAGAAATACACGAACAGAAGAGGCAGAGGGAAAGGCGGCGGGGCGTGGGGGCAGACCGGGCCGCCCTCGGTGCCCGGCCGTGTGAAGACCGCGCTCCTCCCTGCTGCAGGGGCTGGTGAGCGGGCTGCGGCCCAGTGGCGCTGCGCGGCCGCGGGGGAGGAAGGAG